AAAGATTCCTTCATTTGTCCTCTCCTGTTATCAGCCAGAGACCCAACTTAAGAAGTTGTAAAATTTGCTCAAAAAATTCGCTAGGCGATGGGATACCGTGTAGCCACGAGACTGCCAACATTTCTTTGAGTTGCCTGTGGCAATGGTATGAAAAACATGGCAGCTATGGCTTAGAAGTAAAAGCCAATGGTCATGAAGGTTCAAATGGATTTGGTGCTGATAACTCTGAATTTCATGCATATTTTGTTCCATTTCTTTCGGCTGTTCAACTATTTAAGAGCCATAAAACTCATTCTGGAGCAACTACTTGTCCTGTGGGTTTAGATTCACGTGTAAGCGATATAAAAGCGAACGAGCCCCCAACTGCTCAACTTCCAATATTTTCAGTCCTTTTCCCCAAGCCTTGTACTGATGATGCCAACGTTCTCCAGGCCTGTAGTCAGCTTCATAGTTCAGAGGAACCTTTGGCTTCTGAGAAGAGGAACTTTTCTGAACAATCTGTCGACTCAAATTTATCTGGAGAGTCGGAACTTATTTTCGAATATTTTGAGGAGGAACAACCTCAGCAGAGAAGGCCATTGTTTGATAAGTAATTACTCCTATGCCCTTTTTCGAAATTACTAATATGGTTTCGTTGTTTTTAACTCGGATCTTTAACTTATTGTTATTATTACTATTGTTATATAAGAAACAATAGGAAACTACAAAATGGGAGAGATCATAACCAAGTATATAATCCTTTTTTTACGGTCACCGAGAAATGGCCCTTCGGTAGGGGGTTGGGACTTTAGATGGGGTCAGAGTTCAGGTTCTAGGTCTAAACCTTGGAGTGGAAAGTTTAATACAGTCGTCGTAGTTTCTTGGAGTTGGCAAGGGACCGTGGAAAATCTGTCTGTGGATTCGTGGGGCGGGCTCGTTTCCATGGATCCGTAGAAGAAGTAGAAGAATAAATGATCATCATTCTCATTACTACACACCAATTAGAGGAATTCAGCTCCAAGAAACTCCACTTTTCTACTCCATCCGGCAGCATTTATGCCTCTTACAAGACTAGCATCGGCAAAATCTTCACAATTTATGAAGTAAAACTTGTTCCATAGTCAATATGAACCCAGAGTGGCCGTTGGCTTCAATTTAAATATATTCATTATCATTAGATCTGCCTTCTTTATCCTTAATCAATAGCTTTATCATAGTATGCTCATTTTTAATGAATGTTTGCATACTTAATATAAGGATCTGAAAATTGCTGCATTTGTGGTTGCTAGCTCATAACTATTTGAATTGATGTCTATTCTATTGAATCAGAATACGTCAGCTGGTCAAGGGAGATGGATGTCTTCGAGGAAAAATATATGGGGATCCAACCGTGCTCGAGTCCATTACTTTGAATGATCTGCACGCCGGATCATGGTTAGTTATGACAGAAATTCACAAGCTTTTACTATATTTTCGTAGTCTACTGGATCATATGTGACTGAATTCTTAATGCATTGTTTACATCGTAAGAAATAATATGAATGTCATTGAAGCAAGAAGAAGAGTGATGTAATTGTTTATGGTATTTCAGGTACTCAGTGGCATGGTATCCCATTTATAGGATACCGGATGGCAACCTTCGAGCTGCATTTTTGACTTACCACTCACTAGGACATTTCGTTTGTAGAACTTCCCAATCTAGCTCTTCAGAAACTGATTCTTGTATAGTATGTCCAGTTGTGGGTCTTCAAAGTCATAATGCACAGGTACAGTTTTGATACTCGCTGCTTCATTTCAGCATGTTTTTGTTAGGAATCACGAACCTCCACAATAGTATGATATTGTCCATTTTGAGCATAAGCTTTCGTGGTTTTGCTTTTGGTTTCTCTACAAGGTCTCATATCAATGGAGATGTATTCCTTACTCATAAACCCATGATCAACCCCTTAATTAGTCGATGTGGGAGTCTTCTCCCAACAATCCTCAACAATCCTCCCCTCGAACAAAGTACACCATAGAGCCTCCCTTGAGGCCTACGGAGTCCTCGAATAGCCTCCCCTTAATTGAGGCTCGACTCCTTCTCTAGAGACCTCGAATAAATTTCACCCTTTGTTCGACCCTTTGAGTCACTTTTGACTACACCTTTAAGGCTTACAACTTATTTGTTCGACGTTTGAGGATTCTATTGACATGACTAAGTTAATGATATGAATCTGATACCATGTTAGAAATCACGACCTTCCACAATGATGTGATATTGTCCACTTTGAGCATAAGTTCTTATTCCTTACTTATAAACCTGTATAAACCTGTGATCAACCCCTTAATTAGCTGATATAGGACTCCTCTCCCAACCATCTTTAACAACTTTAACATCTGATGTGGTTGTGTGTACTGTTCAGCAAATTTTAAAGGAAACAAAAATAGAACATTTTTTTATGATAAAAATGTGGTAATTGATTAGAACTTTATTCTTGTCCATCTCATAGGCTAATTATGTATTGATGGAAATGGGTAGGCTCCATTCGACTATATGAATTGCTCGACTCATGTTCCTCGTTCAGCTACCATATACTTTTGTCTGATATCAATCTTTATTTTACATCAATAAAGTGTGCTTTTGCTGCATTGCGCAAGGACTGATGTGCATCTTTCATAAACATTCTCTTTTTTACATGAGCAGAATGAATGCTGGTTCAAGCCAAGAAATAGTACGTCGATGTTTAATCCTCCCGGAGTCGTTGACGAACGCCTGAGGACGCTGGAAGAGACAGCATCCCTCATGGCGAGAGCCGTTGTTAAGAAAGGAAATCTCAACGCCAGAAACAGACATCCAGACTACGAGTTCTTCCTCTCCCGACGATGCTAGTTCAGCAACCAGACTTCTCGTGCTTAGAACTTATCACAGGAATTTCTTTCCTTTTGTGAATACTCTTGAGAGTTCAGCTTAGGATGATAATAGGACCTAACCTCAAGTAGGATGTAAGCGCAGCTGATCTTAGTCTTTGTTTACAGTGCTTTGTTCATTTTCTGTGTTGTCTACTCTTTAACTCTTCAGGCAGTGTAACTTCCTTCTTCCATCTGTTTATATTGATTTGTACTCAATTTTCTTTTCATGTAAGAATGAAAAATCTCCTGGGTTTATGGAGATTGTTTGCATTTTCTTGTTCTTATTCAATTCTGTTCATTTGATACTATGCCACCATATAGACATAATTGGATAGTGGGTCGGGAAATTTCATCGGTGTGCATACAGATTTTCATGTAGGAGCAAATACTAGACCTTGTTTAATGGGCGAATGCCCAGGACGTAGTGCACAACCTCAAAAAGTAATGGTCAAGCTGTAGGTCACGTGACCTGCACCTAGTTGGTGGCTTACTAGGCTTTTTCTTAGATCATATCGAATTAGCTCGCCTTCTTGTTATCCGAAACTTTATTAATTCTAATTTGGACTCCTTTAAAACTGAACTAGTTACCCAAGACTTGTTGGTAAATAGTTGATTATTTGCATTTTCTTGTTCTTATTCAGTTTTAGAATTGGTTCTTTGATACTATGCCACCATATGGATTTCAATGAGGAAAAGTAGTGCATAATTGGATAGTGGGTCGGGAAATTTTATCGGTGTTCATACAGATTTTCATGTAGGAGCAAACACCAAACCCCGTTTAAGGGGTATCTGGCGAATGCCCGAACGTAGTGCACAACCTCAAAAAGCAAAGGCCAAGTTGTAGGTCACATGACCTGCACCTAGTTGGTGGCTTACTAGGCTTTTTCTTAGATCAAATCGAATCAGCTCGCCTTCTTGTTATTCGAAACCTTTTTAATTCTGATTTAGACTCTTTTTAAACTAAACTAGTTACCCAAGACTTGTTGGTAAATTGCTAACGGTGAACAAAGACTAAGATCTGACCGGACCTTTGCTGTTGAAAGACCATTTGCTGTTGAAAAAGCAAACGATTGGAACGAAGATTCAAGACATAGAATTCTACTGGTTAAATTAATTTGCTAAATTAATTTAATTTTTGGAGATAAATAAATAAACATTTTATGCAGTAATATTTTATTTTTCTTAAAAATATTGACCCAACAACCTAAATCAAATATATTTTATACTTGTACTGAATTATTGAATTATGCTATAAAAATTATATCTTTTAAAAATTTTATAACAATAATTTACTTGCGTATAAAAAAATATTTTAATCAAATTATTGACTCTTTCAAGTTTTTTGGATTATTTTTTTCAAACGGTCAGTTCGAGTTTTTTATTTATTTTATTTTTTTTTTCTTTTAAAAAACATAATTAATAGGTGTCAGTGGAATTTAATTTAAAATAATAATAATATTAATTTGTTGTCTCCAAGATCTTTGGCACTGTGGTCATATTCATTGGATTGCACGCATCTTTATGTAATGTGGGGCCCACGTTGCTTCTTCTTTTTCAGCTATTAATATTTAATTATGCCAATACGGTACCGTTTCCAGCTATCGAGGCACGTGTCCACTGTCTAAGGCTCCTTTTATTTAAGTCCAAATTAATATTGCAAGTAAATTTCTTAATAATATTATTATTTAGGTTAAGTTATAAAAAATAAAATATTTTTATTTTTAAAAAATTTGTGTTCTCCTACTTTAATCCACGTAAATATACCGTTTACCGTCATTAATTTTTTTTGTTTAATATTCTAATAGATTTAATAATTTTGAATTATACATTAAATGTCTATGAATATATTTGTAATAAATAAACAATTATTAAATTTTATTGAACGAAGATCGCGATAAAAATATTTTTACGAGAAAATAGACGAGAAATTAAACGTTAAAATTTTTAACTTCTCTCACATTTTTTAAATTTTCCTAATGCTAGAATTGATGTTATTAAATTATTTGCTTTAATTAATTAATTAATTTATTTATTGAATGAATTAATTGAAAAATTGCTTTTATGGCCTAAATTTATCCTTAATTAATTTATAATTTAAAAAGAAAAAGAAAAGAGAATACAGAATCCAATCCATTCTATCCAATTTTGTACCGCGGGAAGTTGGAGGCCGATGCATTAACCCGAGCGAAGTGAAGAAATTTCTACGCGGCAAGTTGGCGAATCCTATCACTATCGAGATCATGGATTCCCTGAAATTCGCCGTCTTGGAAGTCAATCGGAGTATAATTTTGCCAATTTTTTTTGTCTCGTCTCGAATAAATTTCAATCCGCGAATCAAAAGACAGCAACATCCTCAACATCTATACGGTTTCTGTGAATTCCACTTCTTTGGTTCATTTCATCAGCAGTTTCACTTCCTAGCTCTGATTCCAACCTCTAAGTCGTCGATTAGAAGTCACTATGGAGGAGAAAGGAGTTGAGGATGATGTGGTGAAGCGTTTGGATTGTGAACGCGATCCAAATCAGAAGAACAGGCAGAGATTTGGGGGAGTAGGTGGAGTACTGTCGATCGAGCAGTTCTTTGAAGATCAAGAAGTTCCTTCATGGAGGAAGCAGCTAACATTTAGGGCTTTTTTCGTCAGTTTTTGGTTGAGCATTTTGTTCAGCGTTATTGTAATGAAACTCAATCTAACCACTGGCATTATACCTTCACTCAACGTATCTGCTGGTCTGTTAGGATTTTTCTTCGTCAAATCATGGACGAAATTTTTGGAGAGATCAGGCTTCTTGAGGCAGCCTTTCACCAGGCAGGAGAACACCGTCATCCAAACTTGCGTTGTTGCCTCTTCTGGCATCGCTTTCAGCGGTTTGTCTCTTATCCATTTTCATTCACTGGTCATAGATTATTGTTTACACTTGATGTGGACGGGGAAACAGAGTTCGATTTCAAGCTTTCATTACCCTTCTTTTTTCATTTCTTTTTATGCGTTCTTAGCGCAGATTCTTGCGTACTTTTATGGTCAAATTTCTTCTAATCGGAGGTCTGATAATTGTGACTGCTGTCAAACCTGTTTGGGGTGAAGAATGTTTGCCGTTTGCTTGTAATTCACTTTATATTTTTATGGGCGTGATCTTGTTTTTGTTATTTGTTTCTTCTAATGGAAGTAGTTGCAACTTGCACCAAAACAATCAGAAAAACTTTGTTCCAATATAAGTACGTTTATATCTCATCTGTGACCATTCCTTGGAAGATCAGCTACTTTTACTGCACTTTTTCCTTGGTTTTTCATCACCATGAGAGGAGCATTCTATCATCCATCCTCTTTCAATTGAAGATTTTTTTTTTTTTCCTCATTTGTCCAGAATTCTGTGGTACTTTCTTTATTGCTACACTTTGATCTGAAAAATGAAATAGGAGACCAGTTTACTAAGGCTATTTGTGTGATTTCCATATTGGTTGGGGAGGAGAACAAAACACCCTTTATAAGGGTGTGGAAACCTTCCCCTAGTAAACGTGTGTTAAAGCCCGGAAGGGAAAGCCCAAAGAGAACAATATCTGCTAGCGGTGGGCTTGGGCCGTTACAAATGGTATTAGAGCCAGACGCCGAACGATGTGCCAGTAAGGACGCTGGCCCCAAAGAGGGGTGGATTTGGTGGGGGTCCCACATCGAGGACGTTGGGCCCCGAAGGGGGGTGGATTGTGATGCCCCACATTGGTTGGGGAGGAGAACAAAATACCCTTTATAAGGGTGTGGAAACCTTCCCCTAGCAGATGCGTTTTAAAGCCTTGAGGGAAAGCCCAAAGGGCACAATATCTACTAGCGGTGGGCTTGAGCTGTTATAATTTGTCCACAAAGCTTGAAAACCTTCCCCTAGCAGATGCGTTTTAAAGCCTTGAGGGAAAGCCCAAAGGGCACAATATCTACTAGCGGTGGGCTTGAGCCGTTACAATTTGTGCACAAAGCTTCCAAGAAGTAAAATTTTATTTGAGATTGATATCTGTTTCTGGTGTGGGAGAATCCGGTAGACTATTATTCCACATCATTGGAAATGATAAACATCCATAGACAGATTTCTAACTAATTCCTGATTTGTGTTAGACTAATTTGTATCTTGTGTTTTTTTTTTTTTTTTTTCCTATTGACAGGAGGTTTTGGAAGTTACTTATTTGGAATGAGCGAACGGATTGCTCATAAATCATCAGGCAGTAAAGATTTCAAAGATCCATCATTGGGATGGATGATTGGGTTTCTATTTGTTGTTAGCTTTCTTGGCCTTTTCTCGGTTGTACCCTTGCGAAAGGTATGCTGCCACGTTGCGAGTTTCAAAGTAATTATAAAAAAAAATCAGTTTAGTAGTACAACTAAAGCTTCAAAGTTGGTTTTATCCCAAAATAAGCTGTGAAAACTTTAGTGCAACAGAAATTAATGTGGAGACCTTATTGTTCTTCGATTCTTGATGGTATATTCTGTGATTAAAAAACACTTAAAACTATTTCTAGATATTTATGTTTCGTTTAACAAGTTGATGTTGCAATGCAATACAATGTTGACTTGACATTATCCATGATTATCTTGATCACTTTGGCCTCTGATTAATTGCAGATCATGGTCATAGACTTCAAATTAACTTATCCAAGTGGTACTGCAACTGCTCATTTGATTAATAGTTTCCATACTCCCCGAGGAGCTGCACTAGCAAAGTAATGTGCTTTCATATATGATAAATTATAATCATATATAAGTGTAGTCATTCTAATGTTTACTATATTTTTGCCTAATCTTTCAGGAAGCAGGTGAAAATGCTTGGCAGATTTTTCTCTGTGAGCTTCTTGTGGGGCTTTTTTCAATGGTTCTTTATGACTGCAGATGGTTGTGGGTTTGCGCACTTCCCAACGTTCGGGCTCAAAGCATATGCAAACAAGTATAACATATTTCTAATTCCTTTACTTTGATTGTGTAATGGCTCAAGCCCACCGCTAGCAGATATTGTCCTCTTTGGGCTTTCCCTTTTGGGTTTCCCTTCAAGGTTTTTAAAACGTGTCTGCTAGGTAAATGTTTTCACGCCCTTATAAAGAATGTTTCGTTTTCCACCCCAATCGATGTGGGATCTCACAATCCACCCCCCTTTGGGGCCCAGCATCCTCGCTGGCACTCGTTCCATTCTCTAATCAATGTGTGACCCTCAATCCACCCCCTTTGGGGCCCAGCGTCCTTGCTGGCACACCGTCTTGTGTCCATCACCCTTCGGGGTTTAGCAGATATTGTCCTCTTTGTGCTTTCCCTTTTGGCCTTCCCCTCAAGATTTTTAAAACGCATCTGCTAAGGAGAGGTTTTCACACCCTTATTTCGTTCTCCTCCCCAACAGACGTGGAATCTTACAGATTTTTTTGGCTAATCCTTCGTAGTGTTATTTCAATGAACATGATTGCTATATCTTTTATATCTTCCTGCTTCGTCAACACATGAAGATTTAAAGTTTCCAAGCATAAAATATATTCTAGCAATATCAAGATATTGTAATATGTGGATCACTGTGTTCCTCTGTGGTTAATATGTAGGTTTTACTTTGACTTCTCAACAACATATATTGGAGTAGGGATGATTTGCCCCCACATAATTAATGTATCTGTGCTTGTTGGAGGAATTATCTCTTGGGGCATAATGTGGCCTCTCATAGAAGAAAAAAAAGGTCAATGGTATAGTGAGAAATTGAGCTCAGACGACCTAAGTGGACTTGAAGGTTACAAGGTGAGATCTTCCATCTTAAACAAGCATACTATCTTTCTCCCAGAAAAAGATCTCTTAAAGGGAACTTATTTTGACATTGATCTCAGGTATTTATAGCAATAGCCATAATTCTTGGTGATGGCCTGTACAACTTCTTCAAAGTATTGACTCGGACCCTCTCGGGCTTGCTCCACCAACTTCGACACAAAAGAGATACCGAAGAGTTATCCTCGGAAAATTCATCCAGGTCTGAGTTATCTTATGACGATGAACGAAGGAAACAACTTTTTCTGAAGGATCAAATACCAATCTGGCTTGCCATTGGAGGTTATGTTGTGATTGCTGTAGTGTCGATTAATACTCTTCCGCACATTTTTACCCAGCTGAAGTGGTATTATATCTTGGTCATCTACATCTTTGCTCCTGTCTTGGCCTTCTGTAATGCATATGGATGTGGACTCACGGATTGGTCTCTGGCATCCACCTATGGAAAGCTTGCCATTTTCACCATTGGTGCCTGGGCTGGACCTTTGCATGGGGGAGTTGTTGCTGGTCTATCAGCTTGTGGGGTCTTGATGAATATTGTCTCCACTGCCTCTGACCTAATGCAGGATTTCAAGACTGGCTTTCTAACTTTGGCTTCACCTCGATCCATGTTTGTCAGCCAAGTAGTAGGCACAACAATGGGCTGCATTATTTCCCCTTGTGTCTTTTGGCTCTTTTACAAGGCATTTGATGATCTTGGTCTTCCAACTGGTGAATACACTGCCCCTAATGCAGTTCTCTTTCGCAACATGGCCGTGTTAGGTGTTGAAGGCGTCTCGAGTCTACCAAAGAATTGTATGACCTTATGTTACGTGTTCTTTGCCACCTCCATTTTGATTAACTTGATTAAAGACTTGATACCAAAGAAGTGGGCAAGGTTCATTCCTCTACCAATGGCAATGGCAATACCATTCTATATAGGGCCGTACTTCACAATTGATATGAGCCTTGGAAGTCTGATATTGTTTGTGTGGCAGAAGCTAAACAAAACCAAGGCCGATGCCTTCGGTCCAGCTGTCGCATCGGGTTTGATATGTGGGGACGGGATTTGGACTTTGCCGAGTTCAATTCTGGCTTTAGCGGGAGTCAAGGCACCAATATGCATGAAGTTCCTATCAAGCTCAAACAACGCAAAAGTAGATAAGTTCCTAAGCTCGTCCATCTGAAAATTTCGAGTTTTTTTTCTTTTTAATTTCTCTGTAGCTTTGTGGTAGCTAAATTCATCTCTATAGGCTCCGTCCTCCTTTTGGTTTGTTTATGTTGTAGAACAGCCTCTTATTTTTGTTTCTTTGGGGCATTGGAGGGCCAGGGTTCATTCAGTTGATCGGTAGATAGAAAGTGGGAGAAGTAGGTAAAATTTTACCAGACAATGATGAAAAATATGGTCTGTGTCATGTATTTATGCTTGCATAGAACAGTGAGAAAAAAAAAGAGAAGGTTATATTATTTATGTATATGTGAAGTTTACTTTCATTTTGAATTCATGTCATGTTCCACGCAAACTCTTGGATAGAATTGTCTTCTGTTTAGCTTACGTTTTATTAGCTTACGTTTTAACTCTTGGATAGGATTGTCTTCTGTTTAGCTTACGTTTTTAAATATTGTGATCATCCAATAAAATTTTATAAATACTCTAAAAGCATATGTAAAGGACGAAACAAAAAAGTGAAGTACGTCTAAGTTTGAGAGTAGCGCTTCCCTTCTTTCTTTAAGGTAAGGAAGTCTCTCGAGCAGGTAGAAATTAAGTAGGTTCTTCCTCTGTGTTCTACTAATTGCGTGAGTTAGAGAGTAGCTCTTCCCTTCTTTCTTTCAGGCACAGAGATCTCTTGAACCTGTAGTTTGTTGCTATTGCTCGAGAAACAATCGAAGAAGAGGCTAATTGGACGAGTAGCTCAATGTTTAAAAGCAACTTCAAGTAACACATACATGAATACATGAATAATTTGTCAAATAGACCCTTTTATGGGTTGGACCCTCGCATGGAGAAGAAATTGTTGGTCAAGATGTTGTGGAAATTACCTCATTACTTGATATACCATCTACAACAAATATGAGATGTGGAAATTACCTCATTACTATATTGTTAAGGTCTAAATTTAACATAAAATATAGAAAATTTCATAATACCATAATACATGCATACAGTACAAACGATTGAGAGTAAATAAATTGCATCCAAATCTTGTGGATACTTTTTAACTTTTAAGCTGAAAATTTCCTCTAAACCCAAGAAAAGGGTAACAGTTTCTCTCTGGTATATCAAAAACAGAATTTTACATGACTAACAATATGGTAAAAACTCAACTTTAATATTATTTTATGGTTAAATTTCTTTAATTTCATTATGCCAGCAGCTTTTCAAAGAAACTGGTAGAGCATTCTCTTACTTCGAATATAATAACCTCTGCAATGCATCCTAGCTGCTGCTGTGGCTTACCAATTGTAGAAAGTAATGACCTCAACTTGTCCAATCTTCATCAGTGTCCTAAACGACAAGCAAAATTGTGAGTAAAACTGTGCAAGATCCTAATCTAATATTCATACAAGAAACTCAAGGAATATGGTCAGTTAAAACTATTTATTCAGTCCCTGAATGATTGATTTCATCTTATAACGAACACTTCAATCGAACCACATGCATTGCATCCAAAAAGTCTATGATAATGTCGACGATTTTTGGTGATCATGGTCGAGAACTATATTTAGGCATGTGGAGAACATGTTTTGTTCTTAACTTTACATGAAATAGATAATTATCCAATATAGAAATGACGACTTTTCGACAAACATGGTGCGAGGCACGATAATAAGAAGATTACATGGGGTAGGGGTTAGGCCAAATAATTAGTAGTTAAAAGAGTGAAGTGAGAAATGACTATATGTACTACTACTAGCAAAAGAGTAGTTCAGCCAAATAATTACATCAGACTCCAAAATGAGTACAAACCTAGGGCCCAACTAACTTCCAATCCAATATTCTGGAAATCATGGGAGAAGTATGTAGATGGCTATATAATAGGTAGTGAACACTTACCTCTTGAGAGCTCGACAACTCTTCAATGTCATCTTCAACCTACGAGATATAGATAAGCCATATTTAGTATACAATGATCTAATCCGTTAACCATTTCATACCACACTCAAGTGAATGGCAAAAGGAAGTAGATTCTACAGAGATACAAATTCAGAGTATTAAAATTTTAAACCCTTACATGTAACATGATGAGGCAAGTTTTCTAGAGCCTTAAACAAAAGAAGGAATGGCCACTAAGATTATCTCTAGTGAGAAATTTGTTAGGGAGTCTCGGTATAAGGTCCATGAGGCAAACAAACAACGCCCTTAAAATGGCTGTGGAGGTTCACTCGAGAAGAAAACGCTCTGTGGAGAAGAGAAATCACGAGTCTTTAAGGCTGTGAGCCCCTCAGGTGGCTATCCCTTGCTCCTAAAGGTGCCTCCAAATCTAGACATTGGGTGGTGGAGATTGCTAAAAAAAAGTGTTCTGTTTGTCAACCATGCGAGTTTTAAAGTTCATTGCGGTGAAAGAATTGAGTTCTGCGTGACAAGTGGGTGGGGAACAATTCGTTTACGTTTGCTTTCCAGACCTTTTCAGTATCTCTCTTAAGAAGGAAGCCACGATCACCAAGTGTAGGAACGCGGAGCAGAATGATCGGGACCTTGGTTTTAGAAGGAGCATTTTTTATAGAGTTTGATAGCTGGTTGGGTTTGATCTCTCTGATTGATTTGATTAGGCTGGGAGAAGGAGTTGACAGAGCTTACTGGTCTCTCGAGGAGTCGGTTTCTTCACTACATAGTCGGCTTTCTTGAAACGATCTGAAACTGGCCCGAAGCTTATTACTATTTTGATTAGTTTGATTTGGAAACCACGAGCAGCTAAGTTCATTTCTATTAAGATACTTCTGGTCGTTGCAGCCATAAGTTAATAACGCAACAAATCATTTAAAAGAACAATTTGTAGAAATGGCACTAATACCTCATATTCTGTATCCTTCCTCGTGACTTTTCCTCCTGCAAATTCAAAGAGCAGCTATACATCAATTGACCACGTAAAACACAACATAGAAACTCAATCAGCTAGATTATAATGCTACACTAGGTAACTACAGAACCCAAATTTGCATGAACCGACTCCGAATATAAGTACTTACCGCTAGGAGAGTCGGTTGGAAACATAAAGGTATGTATTATATGTAGCGATTAGACAGCAAACGAAAATTAGTCGGAATACAAAATGCACATCTATCTTGTGGAATTGAAAAACTACTATTAGATCTACTACCAATTTTTAGCAAGCTAATTATGACAATATATAAGCCTGTTTGAGAAATAACTGAAGTAAATAGAGAGAGCATGCGAGATTGACCATCGTCTTGAACCCGGACAACCCTCCTTTTCCTTGATCCTTCGTCCTGAAAAATACAAAACGATCCATTATGGTTATTTCCCGGAGAATAAAAAAAAAATTATAAGATGTATCACCTGGTCAATCTTTCGCTTTGAACCAGAAAGCTGCACCTTTTGGGCAGAAACTGTAGAAAACCAATTTTTCAGATTTTGATGTTAACTGTGTATTCTCATGATCATGATAATAAAATCAATGACGAAAATTAGAACCTTTAGATGTTGAAGATCTCTTTGACCTTCTTGGTGTCCTCTGAAAACAGTAAGCATTCATTGTAAATAAATATGAACCTTAAAGATACGACATTTTGGAGGATTTATTGGCAAAAGATCGAGAGATTCATGCAGTTTCAGCAGTAAATGGATTCGAAACCGCAACGTATCTCGACATATTTAATTAAAGGACTTCAGATATTACCTTCTCCTCCACTTTCTTGAACAAACTATGTAGAGTAGGCTGGACGAGTATACCACGATTACTACTCTGAGCATTTCCCTTAGCCCGAGAACTTCTTTTAGTCTTAGAAATTGATTCTTGATCACCTTGAAGAATTGGAGACTTTTCTACAGCATCAACATCTTTAGAATCAACAGAGATATCTTCTGTCTGTAGTAATCGATTAAGAGCAACAAGCATGAAAGTTAAAGATTGAATCAACAGAAATTGAAAGCTGCAGAGATAAGAAAATGAATTAAAACAAACTACTCAAGAATTATGAACAGGACATTTTCACTAGCATGATCTCCGATTGAAGGTTCATGTATGACAACATTCTTTTCTTCCCCTTCAGACAAATCATCGCAAGTGCCAGCAGACTCATCCTCAGAAGAAGAAGCCTCTGCAAAACTTGACAAGAAAAGGAAATAAATTTAACAATGAAATTATTTTGCTCGACAGAAACACAAAAACATGGTCATTTGAATTAACTGAAATAAGCTTCAACACGAATAGGAATATTCGGGAATCAAGAAGTTGCAGTTAACTCATATTTGAACTGTGAACTTGTTCAAAAACTATATGTCTACCAACCTGAGAAAAAATGGATTCAATAATTCAGTTGGTTGGTTCATGCTTGTATAGCCTTGTAAGAATTTATAGATACAAAGCAATTTACTACTGTCTAACAATCAGCACGACCTGAATGATGAAGGGAAAGAATCTGAAAGTCTGAACGGTCTTAAGGTAGTTGAGCTCAAGAAACATCTAGGATCAATGCAGTTTCATTCGTCCACTTTACCTAGAGTATGTGTAGTTATTACTCGACACGGGCAATGCCATCAATCTAGATGCTATTTGTACTGATAGCCTTCCCAATTTCTAGTTTGCTTCTTCCTATTTCCCATACCGTAAATTGATCCTACAACGTTTTGGAAGAATAGAGGACTGTAGAAACGGATATAATGATACCACAATGGTGCAAAGTTGTGGCAATTTCTCCATGAATGTGAAGAACTTAACGTGGACATTCTAAACTAATTTTCTTCTTTAACAAGATATATAACTCAAGGCAAAAGCCTCCCAAAAGCCAAAGTTAAAAAGGCTCCCCAATTAGCTAAGATCATAGAAATGAAAAGATGATTGAAAAAATGTTTAAAACTAGGACTGTTAGTAATGGTATTATCAATTATTAATTCTTTTTATAAGAGGTATACTAATAATTAGTTAACGAGCTTTATAGGGAACAGTAAGCCTCTCGAATTCTTGGTAAACCTATGTATTTTCCTTTGATATGGTAACACATTTTAGTGGCTAGTTTCTTAATTTCCAATCGCAGTCTCAGCTTCAGGAAACATCAGAAGCTTAATAGGTGGCTATGAAATAATAAGATCCCTCGCTTCCTCTCAAGAGTTCTCCATTTCTTGAAGACAATTTCTTCCCGACCAAACCCCTCAAAAAACAGCAAACACCACAAACCTATAGAACGCACCTAAGAAAATCCAAGACAAGCTAAAACCCTGTGGAACTCTTTGAAAAATAGATTTTGAAGTTCAAACTTTTAA